ACCCCGAGGGGCTTCTGATGGAGGGGGTGGTGCTGAGACCTTCCTGGGATCTCAGGGAATTTGGGATGAGGGTGGGGGTTCTGGGGTGAAGCCGTGGTTGGAGGGGGGGTTGAGACCTTTCTGTGTCCCCCTGAGGTGACATCCCCAGGGCAGCCTGTTTGGGGGTGCTGGGACCCTTTTGTGTCACCTTAGAACCCCCAGATCAGTGCTGAGACCCTTTTGTGTCCCCCTGAGGTGACACCCCCAGATCAGCCTGGTTTGGGGTGCTGGGACCCGTTTGTGTCCCCCACAAGTGACACCCCCCCTCAGAACCCCCAGATCAGCCTGGATTGGGGTGCTGAGCCCCTTTTGTGTCCTCCTGAGGTGACACCCCCAGATCAGCCTGGATTGGGGTGCTGAGCCCCTTTTGTGTCCCCCTGAGGTGACACCCCCAGATCAGCCTGGTTTGGGATGCTGGGACCCGTTTGTGTCCCCCACAAGTGACACTCCCCCTCAGAACCCCCAGATCAGCCTGGATTGGGGTGCTGGGACCTTTTGTATCCCCCTGAGGTGACACCCCCAGATCAGCCTGGATTGGGGTGCTGGGACCTTTTGTATCCCCCTGAGGTGACACCCCCAGATCAGTCTGGTTTGGGGTGCTGGGACCTTTTGTATCCCCCTGAGGTGACATTCCCAGATCAGCCTGGATTGGGGTGCTGAGCCCCTTTTGTGTCCCCCTGAGGTGACACCCCCAGATCAGCCTGGTTTGGGGTGCTGGGACCCTCTTGTGTCCCCCCCTCAGAGCCCCAGTGAGGTTTGGGGTGCTGAGCCCCGGCAGAGCTGGGGACAGCCCCCGTGTCCCCCCCGCTGCAGGGCTGGTGGCAGCGGTGCCGTGCCCGTCACACCCCAGGGGCCCCTTCCCAGCTGGATCTGGGCTGGGAATGATTTGGGATGAAGGGGGGGGTGTCCCCCTCACAGCCCTGGTGACACTGTTGGGGACACGAGGCCGTCCCCATCCCTGCCCCGGGGCCGCGTCCCTGCTCCAGCAGCGTTTCCTATTTTGGAGGCTGTGAAATCCCTTCCAAACCTCCGAAAATTCCTTCCCTCTTTCCTCCTGGGGGAGATGACGGGAAAACAAACAGCACATGACACCCGTTAGTCACAATTTTTAGGAGTGACACCACAAAAAAAGCTGTGGCTGTCCCTGCCCCAAACCAGGACCAGCTCAGCCCCTCCAGTTCTGGGGTTTTTTCCTTAAAAATGGAGATATTTTTCCTACCAAGGGGGTGGTGATGCGGCTGCCTCCATCCAGGAGGAAAATGGGTTTATTCCCTATCCAAGGAGATTTTATTCCCTATCCAGGGCGGGTTTATTCCCTATCCAAGGAGGGTTTATTCCCTATCCAAGGAGGGTTAAGCAGGATCAGGCAGAGATCTGCAGGTGTCTCCGTGCCCATTCCCTGCTCCTTTCACCCTCCTGCGCCTCTGGTTTATTTTTTGCTCATCCGAAGTGGCCTTTGCTTGCCTGGGATAAAACCACGGAATTCCGGCCTCAGAAGCGGGCCCAGGGGACTGTGGGTTATGGGGTCATGGAAAAGGGAGGCCTGACCTCTGTGGGATCCTGGTGGCTTTGGGATTGGCACCAGGGCCGGGCTGGGCACAAGCCCGGCGGAGGTTTCCTCTCGCCTCCGCGGCTCTTCCTGGTGTTCTCACTCCCGGGTTTTTCCTGCTGGGAAAAACCACGTGGCCAACCCCACACTCTGAAACCCAAAGCTTTTGGAATGTTCTCGGCCCTAAAGGTCTCCACTGTGCTCCTCAAAACGCTTTTTGCATCCTGCGTGGATGCTGGATGTTAGGAAGGAATTGTGCCCTGGGAGGGTGGGCAGGGGTTGGGATGGAATTCCCAGGTTTGCTGTGGGTGCCCCTGGATCCCTGGCAGTGCCCGAGGCTGGGATGGGATTCGGAGCACCCTGGGAGCTGTCCCTGGCCGTGACAGGGAGTGCAACCGATGATCTTCAAAGTCCCTTCCAACTCAAGCCGTTCCACAATTCCATGATTTTTGGCATCACTTGTGATTCCAAGCCGGCAAGGATCCCAATTCCTAATTCATTCCTAAATCCCAATTAACTCCTAAATCCTAATTCCTGCATCGGGGTGGCCAAAAGCCTCCCGAGCTCAGGTATTCCAACAAACCCTGTCCCAGGATAACCCTGGCTCCTTCTCCCGCTCCTTGAGCTCCCACAAACTCTTTTCCTGGGATCTGTGACATTCTGGGAGTTAATTCTTTTTCAAGTTTTCCCTTTCATCAGCTGGAGATTGAGTCCAGCGTGCCCAGCTCTGGAATTCGGGAGTTTTAGCCTTATTCTTCCCTCTATCACCTGCTAATTGCTTCTTTTGGGAGCCGAGCACCTCCCACCCCACCCAGCCTGGGCTGATCCCGATTTAGGGAATCCTCTTCTCCCTAAAAACCCATCCCCGAGCTGCACGCGGAGATAAGCTGAGCCTGCCTCTAATGGGGTTAAAATCGGTTATTCTGCTCTTATCAAGATTCTGAGGAGCAGATCAAGGCTCCTTCCTTCAGGTGTGGCCTCTTCTGAGCTCGTCATTCCCGAGTTTTTGTTGTTCCACCGCTCCAACTTCCAGCTCTCCCCCCCCTGAAATTCAGAGAGCTCTCAGGAGAAAGGATTTGGACCTAGGACGAGCTTAAATCCTAAACTGAGCCCGAGTTCTCCTCTTGACCTGCCAGGGAAGCAAGGAAAGAACTTGGAAAAGGCAGAATTTTCCACGGGATTCCCCAATTTCCACAGGGAGGGGCCTGCTCTTGGGAGGTTCATGGAAAGGTTTGGAGCAGTTGGAAGCTCCGTGGAGAGAGGATTTCCTGGGAAATCTTTTTGCTGGATGATGATCCACTCTGAAGCATTGTGGGGTTCTCTGGTGTTCGGTGACCTCTCAGATTCCAGATTTGCTTCGTCTCCCAGCTCGACCCTTCGCTTGTCCCTTCCCAATTCCCTGATCCTGCCAGAAACTGACACGGAATTCCTCACCTGGCACAGGATTTTGGCCAAAATGAGGAAAAGCAGAGCGCGGAACCCACCTCTGCTGCGCTTCCAGCCACTCGGGATCATCTCCAGCTCTTGTCCACGGCCGTAAATCCCCCTCATCTTCCCAAAACCCCACGGAGCTGCATTTATTTCCAGCAGCTCCTCTTCCAGCATTCCCTGGCAGGCGATCCGCGCTCTCCAGATTGTCACCGGGATGTGGAGATGAGCTCCAAACCCAACATGTTCTTGCGGGAGGGTTCTGGGATCCTGCCAGGGATCAGCTGCTCGCTGGAGCTTTCCAAGGAATTTCAGCTCCTCGGTGGAATTCCGGGATCAGCGAATTCCCGCTGGATCCGCTGGGTGGGATCAGGGATAGGGTGGGATGATCCAGATGTTGGAGCTCTTCTCTCTTTCCTGTTTCCGTGTCCCAGCTGTTTTTTGGGATCTTTATGGATTCATTATCCCGTTCCATACAGAATATCCGGAAGTGTTGATCCTGTAGGTGTGGGTAAAGGATTCTGGGATGCAGGAGGTGCTCAGGAGCACCCCAGTCCTAACCCTGCGGAAGCTTTTTCCCATCCCAAATTCATCCAATTTCCCATCCAGGAGGCTGTCAAAATTCCTATAAATTGGAGGAAACCTCCCTGTTTTGGGATATGAACTCTCCAGTTGTAGAGAGGGAATTGCAGGATGTGGAATCAGCTTGGGGCAGGGATGGAAGGCTGGGAATGGGGAATTCCTGCAGCAGGGAATGCCTTCACTGCAGATATCGCTGGCACTGAAAATTCCTGTAAATTAAGGAAAATATCCCTGTTTTGGGAAATGAACTCTTCAGTTGCTGAGAGGGTTTGGAGTCAGCCTGGGGCAGGATGGAGGGCTGGGAATGGGGAAAATTCCTGCCCCATGGAATGGCTTCAGTGCAGATGTCCCTGGCGTTGATTCCAGCTTTGGCCTTGGACAGAGCTGGGTGACCAGAGCAGCTCACAAGGAACAACCAACAGCAGCTCCTAACTCCTCTCCCACTTTTCTGGGATATTTATCCCGGCCAGGCTGCTCCTGCTGCTGGATCACGGAGTTTGTGTTGATGTTGGAGAGGGATCTGGGCCACCCCTGCTGGAGCCGGAGCTCCACAGTGGAATTTTTGTCTGGAGTCACCTCCAGGCTCCTCTCAGGAGCCACCCCGGTGGCTGAGCAGGGTCTTTGCTCCGGGTTTTTGGTGGCAGATTCCTGTCCCTGCCCGCCCTGTGAAGGATGAATGTCATCCCTTGGGATTGGAGCTCCTGCTGGAACTCCCTGGGAAGGGTTGGTGGGATCATTCCAGCTCCTGCTCCATTCTCTGGGGGTCTCCCCATCCCGCTCTTATCCCACCCTGGCTCCTCCCTCCATCCTTGTCCCATCCGATCCCATCTCGTCCTTGTCGACCTCTTCAATTCCCATTTCCACCTGGAAAACCCTGGATTTTGGGAGTGTTGATTCTGGGGTGAATGAGGGCAAAACAAACCTGATTTTAGGGATATGGCAGCCTCTGCTTTTATGGGATCTAATTCCAGCAGGAAGCTGGAAT